TGAAAAGGAGGGTGGGGGGAGGTCAAAGTTAAAACTTTAAATCGACATATCTCGTTAATGGTTTGTCATAGAGATATGATCTTGGTCGTAAAATTTAAAGGAAACCATCAGCCTCAGCTGATAACGAAATATGTCCATTTTAAAATTTTAATCCACTGTTGCCGAGTGCCTGGAACTTAAATTTTCAATTGTAACATTAAAGAGGTCGCATGAAAAATGACAAAACTAAATTTTTAGAAAGTACCCTGTTAAAGCTGTCGGTTTAAGGGCATGGATGATCTTGGAATTTGAAAAATACAAGGTGCCCGCTCAGCACAACAACTTTGAAAAATCATGGCTGCACTCCAAATTATGTTCCTAAGATGAACTTAGGCTTGAATTGAAGCTTTGACAGTCAATTTCACATAAATGTAGTTTTATTATTTTTCAAGCAATCTCTTCAACGCCACAGCTCAAAATGTAAACAATTGAAAATTTGAGCTACAGCAATGTGGCAAAGGTGGATTAAAATTTAAAAGTAGACCTACTTCGTTGATAACAGCTGAAGCTAATGGTTTTTTCTACATTTTAAAACTAAGATCATCTCCCAACGACAAAAACGTTAATGAAATATACCGATTTGTGGACTCCCCTTCAGTAATAAGTTATAGAAAATGTGTGTATTTCTGTACAATCTAAAAGTTCACAATAAAATTTTAAAAATGATACGACTCTGATTTAAAGTTTTAACACTGACCCCCCTCACCTTCTTTTTCTAATTATCTGATTTCGAAAATAGTCATTGTTCCAGACTGTAAAAGTGATTCTCTTATCGACCCTGATGTTATTTTGAAGAGTCGGTTGAGGTTGAAAATGGACAATTTTGGGTAATGTCCTTTCTATGCTTCACAGTTTTAAATGCATTAGAGTATAACAAAATTCAGTATTAGAGGTACCAGACCTGCCAAGAAAGATATTAAAATATATTAACAACACTACTTGAGCTAAATTCTTTCTTTTAAGGAGAAGAAGAGGAAAATTAGGTACTATTTGCCTACCAAATCAGGGTTACAATTTACTTTTGGTGAGTTATTATGGTCCGCATCCTGAAAAGTTGTAAGGGAAGAGTTGAGTCAGGGGAACAGTTTGTTCTTTTGCTGGAGGGCCTATTTTATTTAACAGGAGAGTCCGTATAACCTTGTTGTCATTTGGTCAATTTTTGTTTGTAAATGGCATTCTTTTTATTTTTAAATGGTGTTCTTTTTGTTTTTAAATGACATTCTTTTTGTTTCTTCATTCTATCATCTTCTGTATATAAAATCTCAAGTGTCCCATTAAATAAAATCAGCCCTTAAGCGTTGATTGGCTACGAAGAGCCTGGGTCATTAGAATAAGACAATGTGCCTGCGTTACAACAGCAGTCCAAGCCAGTTACTGACTCTGCTCTTCACCCACCACTTATATGGTTTGGACTACACAACAATGTGTACATCAGTTTGAAGGTTAATTTGAGCAATATCAACGTTTTGATCACCTATCATGTTTCATGTTATGACAGCAATGAAAAGCAACATTACAGTGCGCAGTGAAGTTTAGACAAGATTTGATAGAATTATGTTGGTAAAATTTAAGAGTTGCCAACCAGTGAAGAGGACGTACGATATTCTGAAAGTGATGGGCAAGTCAAGATAGCTCTTTTACAAACAATTGCTGCTACCTACTATGGGGATGTTGCACTCAGGAGGGATTTGGTGACTCATGGGTGCTCCTCTATAATTTTTCACGAGAAAACTGTTGGTGTGGTTAAAAACACTCCAAGTCCGATATTAAAGCTGCAAAAGCTAAATGAAGTTCAAAGTTCGAACGGAGGCCTCTCATTGGTCGGCTACATCACAACTTGTATACTATTTCTTGCGTTTTTGATACACCTATGTTTCCCCAGAAGGAATCTGAAGCCATTCTTTAAACACGATTTTAAGTCTATTTGTACCTTATTTTACCAAATTTTCTTGCAATTATCAGTTCCTCATATCCTCTAATTTACAACGGCATCAACGGATGTTTTAAAATCGCATCAGATTAAAACTTCATACATCTAAGGAAGTCCCAAAAGAGAAATTATGTGCCCCTTCAAGGGTTTTCACTGGTCAAATCAATTCTATTTATCGGTTTTTGTTTAAATACAGGGTGGCCCAGACCTACCGTACCAGGCATTTTTTTTCGGTTAACTTGGGTCGCAAGAAGTCCAGGATCGCGGGGATGAATCGGGAATCGACCCCAAGGAATCCGAATTTCATGGTCCCAGAGCCCCCCTGGCGGCCCTTGGGGGGTAAAAGGGGGGTCCGTACTTCAAAAGTCAGGGTTTTTGTCAAAATTTTGAAATTATTTCATCAAAGTCAGAACGTACGGAAAATTTTAACTTAGATGGACACCAAGAAATCCAAAATCCGCCCATCCGAGTCCAAAATACTGACCCCTAAAGGTGGGGAACACAGCCCCCTTTCAAAAAAATTCAAGTTCGTCAAATTGACGTGGAGACTCGGAAAAAATGTTTATTCATAGGTAATCGACCCCGAGGAATCCAAATTTGAGGGTCCCGTTGTCCTCAGAGACTTCTTTGATGGGGCACAAGGGGACTCTAAACTTTTAAATTTAACCGGTTTGGAGGTTACCCTTGTGCCCTGTCAGAAAAGTCTCTGAGGACAACGTGACCCTCAAACTTGGATTCCTCGGGGTCGATTACCTATGGATACACATTTTTTCCGAGTCTCTATACGTCAATTTGACGAACTTGAATTTTTTTGAAAGAGGGCTGTGTTCCCCACCTTTAGGGGTCGGTATTTTGGACACGGATGGGCGGATTTTGGATTTCTTGGTGTCTATTTAAGTTAAAATTTTCCGTACGTTCTGACTTTGATGAAATAATTTCAAAATTTTGACAAAAATCCTGACTTTTGAAGTACGGACCCCCCTTTTACCCCCCAAGGGCCGCCAGGGGGGCTCTGGGACCATGAAATTTGGATTCCTTGGGGTCGATTCCCAATTCATCCCCGCGATCCTGGCCTACGTGCGACCCAAATTAACCGAAAAAAATGCCTGGTACGGTAGGTCTGGGCCACCCTGTATATCAACGCAGGTATTAGATATTTTGGGTAGAAGCAAGTTTGTATCCATTATTTGGCTCCTAATGATTACCTATTGTATCAGTATTTCAGTATATATGATGTATGATTGAGGTATTCCTGATCATCCGTATCCTGCTCACTGCTACAGCTACCTGTCATTGGAAGTTTTAGAAATATGATGGGAACTGACTCAATTAATTGCCTTCGATATCATAACGATATAGTTTTTGAATACACTCTTTGCATCCTTAGTCTTATGTAATTATCAAAATACCATAAATTCATCCCAACAGGCTTTGGATTAAAGGGAGAGGGTAACTCCTGGACGAGACGGGTGATCAAGTGCCAACAGCTTTTAGCTGGTGCATAGTTGGTGGAGAATCTTACCCAATATAAAATTTATCGTCTTTACTACTAATTTACTTTCCAGCCGATAGATTTAAACAGGTAAAAATGTTCTAATGAGATTATAGTGATCCCTCAACTAGCGCAGCTGAGCGATACACATTTCATACAAAAAAAAATAGAACCTCAGCATCCAATATCCAACCAATTAAATGCAAAAAGCTACTTATACCATGCTACGGCAGCTAGTTTCTAGTACTTAGAGAACCAAAAGTACATTAGATGAGTCATTCGGGAAATAGGACATATACACGTCCCGGATAGGATTGTAAATATAACCTCACTTTTGTGACACGCTTTGATGTATCCCAAATAATTAAATAATCTGATGCAGTTCGTAAGTTTCTGAGGATGTTCTTATCACCTTGAGAATGTAAAGAGCTTACTATCACAAGAAAATTTGATGAATACGGCCTTCAACAGTCTGAGAATTCCATTTGAAAATAGACTTCAGTTAGATCCATCATACTCTGGAGGACGATGGAGCCAATACAAGCCAATGTAAATGACATTGCGTGACGTAAATAGCCCCAAATTTCCAAAAGGAATGATTTCTGGCTCATCCTCAGATGAGAGGAAGAGGATTCTTCAGAGGAGCTGCTGAAATCAAATAACTGAAGGAGCATATAGGGTTCACTTCATGGCAAATAAATGAGGGGCTTGAAGGACAAAGAGCACAAATGCAATTTTTGAAAAATCGAGGCTTAATAATTTCGAGTAAAACTAGTCTGAATGCATATTCTGCGAAAAATTCGCTCCCAAGTTCAGATTTTTAAAATTTTGGAAACTACCCGGGAAGTTAGACTGCCCCTTAGAATTTTCTTATTTAAGCAATAAACGAGATTTGAGGGACTTGGAGGACAAGATGCATATGTATAGTTTTTGAAAAATAAAGATAGGTATTAAAGGTTTTTAGGTAAAAATATTCTTACTGCATATTCTGAGGAAAATCGCTCTTTAATTCCAATTATTAAGTATCAAAAAGTCAGTTTGAACTTTCTTTCCACCATAAGGATCCATGTAATTTCGAAACTGTAAACATATTTTCTCGAAATAGCAAATACAGCACTTGTGTGCCTCGTCCTCCAAGCCCCTCCAGTTATAATTCCACAAGTTTTTCAAGAAATCTCAGCCGAAAGTCACTTTTTGCAATGCTATCGCACTGTGTTATGCTTGCGCTCTTAATAATAATAGTAAAAAAACAAAACAAACCCGTTTGCCCACTCATAAAAAATGTCATCAAAGCATTCCTGGGATCTATGAAAGATACGGTCATTGAACTTTCCATCAGACTGCATCAGTTACGTGAGCATGATGCCATGCTCTATTATAGGACCGATTGACGATGCATCAAAAAGATGAATTCTGGAATGCAACCGTAGATTACAAGTTGTGACGTCACATAACATCTATACTCTCCCGCCATTCTTAGTTTTAAATTTTTCCACTAAAAATTTACGAACGTTCAGGAGCTTTTTTGGGATGTGGGGGGGGGGGGGGGGGGGGGGGTCCAAAAATGCCAGGAAAATTCATTTAGCTCAGAATAATGCACACTATTAGAAAATGAATTAAAAAAATAGGTGCAACATACCCATTACATATATGTTTGTAACCGTTCCCTTCAAATAATGCTACAATGGTAAAAAAAAATTATGTTAATAAAGCTTGAGAGTATACCTGATAATGCCTCGAGAAGAATTGTTTCATAAAATACTTAAAAGAAGGATATTACAACTTCTTGAGGAAAAAAAAATTACTTGTTTGTGTTGTGAAATGCTACTGCAGCCTTAAGTATTTCATAGTTTGCCATCTTTACAGTGATAGCAATCCATCCTGGGTTTGTTTCAAAAGCATTACAAGTTCTTGTTTCAGAACAGGAAAAAAACCGAAGTGCAGCAAGACTTCAGGAACAATCTTTCCATTCTGTCCTATTTTAAGCTATAAAAATATAGAACATCTTTCCTGAACTTGAGCTACGGCTCCTCTTAATCTGCTCACAACCTGTCAGTTAAGATAAGAACCTTGAGTCATCATCCACTGCGCCAATCATTGAAATTTTGTGTTTGTCAAAATGGAGAAAGAGAGATTGGAGCTATGTTGTTTGGTCGATTGAGATTCGTAACACAAGCTCCTAAATGGGCCGAATAATTGGCTAGTTAAGGGCATGTCTTTGGTAGCCTACAACCAGACAATCACCTAGCCCAGTTAGGAACTCGCATTGCGGATCACAGTTGACCGGACCAGAGAGCCCACGAATTAAATAGAGTATCTCCATTCCCCTTGGTCTTGTCTTGTTTACCATACAAAATAAAAATTTCAACAATCAGCCCACTGGCTTAATTTGGACTCGAATCTCTCTTAAGTACCAACTTCTAACTAATTCTAAAATATAATACTGTACAGTCAAAATTTTAAAATCAGAACACATAAAATTACATAAACTTGTAATACTTAACAAAATGTTTAAAAGAGTAAAAAAAGAAAAGAAACTATTTACAAAAGAGATTAGAAAATGGTTTCTTATCAAACCTATTGCAACAGATTTATCAAGGATTGATTATTATGCAGACAAAGATTATTTGTGATTATACTTAGGAGTTTTCATTGTAGGAGATACGCAAATGGGGCATGTTTAAGAGATTCTAATTAACTACGCAACTTTACATTATTAAATTCTCGGTTGCAAAATTGTCATTTGACAGTTACCATAAGTAAAACAATTTCACTTTTTTCTTTAGTTGATTCATTGAGGCTTATGCAAGGATGGCCAAATTCCTGGTTCGGATTATTTTCATTTTTTGGTGTGATGTCTTGCTATATTGAAGAGCTACATTTATGAAAATTTCGAATCTTAACATTTTTTCTTGCAGTTAGGCAATGTTGCCAAATTGCCACCTTAAAAATAAGATGATTTTAAACCAAAAAGTTATAATGTCTTCCAAAATTGTGATTCTTCCTATAGTTAGTTGATTTTTGTACAAGATTTCCTATTAATTTTATGATACTTCCCTTTATTTGGATTTATAGCTTTTTGAATTTTATGTGTTTGAGCCTACCAATAACGCTATTTTCTGTTTGACAGAAAAAAAAGGAGAAAAAAATTCATATACAATATTAGTCTGATCCTTCATTGATTGATATATTGGTAGAGAAACAATTAGTTCAGGAGTTGTAAGCATTTGGATGCACGATTTTTAGGTATCTGACACCACTACAGCCATTTGGAGCATTCTGATGCACAGCTTTGAGATTGGTTTACTGATATGATAGGATTTCCCAATACTGAATGACTTACGCAAAATTTTTTTTTTCAGTATTCGGCTCCTCCTGCCTTTTAGCACAATGAAACACCGAAATTGGATAGGAGTCTTCAACTTATCACACTCCAGTTTCCAATTTTACCTCTGGAGTAGATCTTGACCCAACACTTTTCAAGCTTTTTAGGATTACATTCTTTTCTGAGCTGAGATGGATTAAATTCTACAGAGAGAAAGTATACTCAATGGATCCGTCTCTGAGCAACGAGGTTTTTACACTTGAAAATCACACAAATCTTTAAGACGGTAACAAATTTGAAAATAAAATCACAAAGTTGAGATGTAAGCAGAAGCCTTTGACAAAATATCACAATGAAAATTGATTATAGAGGAAAGGTATCTATGAGGACGATTTTTTAGCCCACCCGGCATCCCGTAATTCTACAATTTTTCGCTCATTGAGGGTGTTTGTTTTATAGGGTCTACCATGAATCGGCCATTTTCTTATTTTTTCAAGGTCCAATGTGGCCTAAACATGGGTCTATAGGTCGATTTCGCCCAACATCGTAGGTATTTTAACATTCAGTGTGTGCTTCCTCAACGATCCTGTTGGACAAGCAAAATCCATTAGATACTCACATTTCTTTTTCGTCCGATGTGAGTTTTTCTTCGGTTGTCAAACTTAAAACACTAAGGCCGTTTCGGCTGTATCAGCCATCATCAGGTGAATGACAAAGTAAAACAGAGAACGAAAATAAAAGTGGAAGCTGAAACTTTAGTGCACTATCTCCGGCAGCGCGTTGCAAAACTAGCAAGTGAGATATCGTGATCAGCTGATCGTGTTGCGTCATATAGGAGGACGGAGGGAATGACCACCGGTGCCACCTGTTGTTCTAATTAAGAGTTGAGAAGATGGTCCTTTGGTGTCTTCAAGAGTTCAATTTGTTCCAGCACATTTAGTTTTCGACCTTTTTGACAAACTCTTCCCAATTTGGCCTGACAACCTTCTAGTTTGTGATTGGTGTCAATGATATAGTCGCCAAATGATGAGTGTCCCTTTCTTTTTAGAATGGCACAGTCCATGTTACTTTAGCCTTGTTGCCACACTTCTGCCCGTCTGTCCCACATACGTTTTTCCGCAGCTGCATTAAATTCTAAATGCACCGCTAGATTTCAATTTTTCTTCTTTTTCTTCTGTATTTGTTAATATTCTGCCCAAATTTCTTTGAAGTCCAAATTCCCACTTTTCCTTTCAAGGAAATTAGGGACTTACAGTGCAAAAGGATCATGTGAAGAGTAACTAAACCGCGAAAGCATGCAGAAGATAGCACTTGCAGCTGTCTTTCCTAACGCTAGCTTGACATGAAAATGAGTGATGCCCTTTTATATATTTTAAATAAAATTAGTCGATTTTTAATCATCCAAACAATTTTGAAGAGTCTTTACAGTGATTGGTGGAAATTCGACAAAGACCGGTAGCTTCTTTCAATAAAATTTTCTGCCCAGACGCTAGTGACCCCATCTTTCAAAACTTCATTTTTGCACTAACGACTCTTCTTGCTATCTTGACAGTACAGGAGTCAAATTATTATCTGTAGAAATAAAGCATGTTTCAATGAGGAATTTTTGCTTCTTAACTACAGATAACATGAATGATATTCGATTCTTTGATTCAGCAGCTATATTTTCAACTTTACTATCGTTTTCATAAACAAAGAGTAGAAAGACATCTAATGGAAGTTGTAGAAACCCATACTAGCTTCTGATTGATGACATCAATCACTTCGGCACCAAACTAGGGCGTTTTAAATTTGCGGAAAAGCTGCGCTTTTTTAATTGCGTATTTCTCAGTTTCTGGGTTACCTTTTCACATCTTTTAAGTATGCATCTCGTTATATGCATCATTTACCTCCAGACACAGGAATTTGCAAGTCAAAATTCGTTCATGGTTTAGTGGCCCACTGTTAATGCAAGATAGGTGCCAGAGTTTTCAGTAACTGGCTACCTATCGCATCCGTCCACTAGTATGTACCTTGCACAAGGCGTAAAACTGAGGCAGAAAAACGAAGCATCTGAGGAAAGAGCGGGGGGGAGGACAGTTCTAAGACTTGACGACCGCAGTTCTAAACGAATGATCAGATGGAAAGGGCAGCTAGAATTAGTTCAACAGTTCATCAGTTTAGCTAGGATCTTAAAACACTCTATTATGAGGGAGAAAATTTTCAACTTCCTCAGTGCAAACCTTCAAAAAACGGTTAATTTCTAGTGTGAGTTGGTAAGTCGTTCTTATTCAGCCATTTTCAATTCCAGCAAAAAACTGGAAAATTCGAAGAAATTTTTTAATGGGGACAAGGTTTGATTTCTAGTATAATTGGCCAAAGTGACTTAAAAACATAACTCTTGTGAACATACTCGGAGGATTATTTGCTCTTCCAACCGGATGATAGTGAAACGACGCGTCAAATGTCAAAAAACCCGCATTATTGGGCAACATACGCCTTCAGGGCTGTGTTTAAGCTACTATTATACCCAGGTGGAGTAGAAAAATGGTCGCTTATGATCAATTTTTTAAGTATAATATGGACCCTTAATGCCCAAAAGATTGCGTAGTTACGGAAATTCAGAGTTGGTCCAGAAACTACACAAGAAATTGATACCCTTTCCTTTAGATTAAGGGGGAGGGGGGATCTTTCCTTTACCTTCATGGCTTTATATCTTTGAGTTACTCTCCTCAGAATTCAATTCAAACTACATTGTGGGATATGGAGGGACTAAAGGCTAAGTATCCACGGGTTATATGTACATAGCTCCATGTTACTTACTCAGTTAATAATGAACCAACTACTTTCAAAATGTGTACTTTGTCTAATGAAAAGTGACTCAAACCACCATGGTTGCCATTTATACTGGCAAACAATGTGAGAAAGAAAAGAGTGATTCATACTTTTTGTTTTGTTTAAGAGATCTTTCTGATATGAAAAAATGGCAACAATTGTATAGGATGAATTCCGAATCAAGGTTTTGAAATTGGCTTAGAAAACCATCAGTTTAGTTACTCTAAAAAAAAAAAAAACCCTTTCCTGAAAACCCAACAGAAAAAGGTCACATTGAGTTCCTAAATACAATTGAATTGGAAACTGGGTTTTTGTACTTTTATGCTGTTCCGTTATACATTATTGATGCTCAATGAAAGAGGCCCTATTGAAACCTGTTATTTTTGTCCCACCAAGTGTGGAAAGGATTACACTAGACATCAAAGGTATAGAATAAACAAAGAATAAATTAATGAAAGAAAGAGAAGGTAATAACAGAAACTAAATCGAATCAAGAAAGGTAAACAAATAAAATAAATAGGTTAGAGTTACTTAGGTTGAAATAGACCTTACAAATTGCTAGTACCAAAGACAGGTATCAACTTTTTGTATTCAGCCCAAACTGGCTATTGAATGTTTGCAAAGGTATCTTGCCGGAACTGAATAATCCTTATCCCTGTGAGAAAAATGAATCACTTTAGCATATTTCACATGTTTTTCCTCCTCTTTAAACAATCTATTTACGTTTTGCCGGGTGCACCACATTATTAATGAACTTAAAGGACTTAAGAGACCTACAACAAATATTGTTAACTCAAAAATTAATCTGCGTTCTGACTGCATTTGATACTTTTGAAAATTTGCCAAAGTATAAAATATTTTATTCAAACCCTTCAGTCATGTAAACTGTTTAGGGCCGTGGAACCTTTTGAGGACTTTGGAGTGGAAGGCCGGTTTGGGTTTGGTTGGATTTTAAAATTTCAGTTCAGAAATTCTGAGCTTATTTGCACATTTTGTTTTAAGTTTAACAGGCACTTGCATGTACATCCGGTTTTTAGCTAGTGCAGAGGGTCGTAATTGTTCTGAAGAGTCTGTTTTTTTACGGGACTTTCTTGATTTTGGGAAGTTTGGCATAATTCGCCTGATTTTGCGAACTCTCACGAGTGATAGCGGCTCTACCAGTTTTGTATCGTACAGGAGTCACCAGAATATCACGCTGCAGTCGAAGTGTTGAAAGTGTCCAAGACTTGGCAGGATCTACAAGCTTTTGTTCAAGTCAAAAGGAGGGGAAAAAGGCAGGTAGTATATATAAGTACTTATTCAGTATACCAGAAAAAATTGTATTCAGTCAGAGTTGGGTATCCAGTATTCAACTCTACTCTATGGTAAATCAATTTTAAAAAAATTCCTCCAAAGAAAAGAAGAAGCAGCTGCTAGGTGCCCAAAATCATCAGTCTCATAGAATTTCTCTTGAAAAAGAGACATTTATTTCAAATAGGGTATCACATATCTGATGTAGTTGCACTGATTTTGATATAGAAAGGTCATGACCTCCATATTGAAATAATGCCACCTTCAAACAGAAGTTAAGAAAAAAAAGGAAACCTAGTTATAAAAAAAATGACCAGCAAATAAGTTAAGATTTTGTTAGTTCGACTTGTGCCCTTATGATGCTTAAAATAAACCTATAACAAATTAATAAATAAACCTTTGGATGATCTCACTAGAAATTTAGGTGGGGGGACCAACTGCAGTGATCCTCTTCTCACAGAGATTCATGTGCGCTTAGTCCAGACGTGGTTTGTAGCTTGTCTTCCAAACCTCAGCTAGTGTCACTGCTGCATGGAAACGGTAAAATATGCTAAGCGGTAATGTGATGCGTTGAATCATAGACCAGGCTAGGAATCCATAAAAGTTCAACTGTAAGAAGATAAAGTATCTAGGGTAAAATGAAGTTTGAAAAACATTATTGAAGCAAAAACGACAATAATTCCTCCACCTGGATTTTCTTCATTTTTTGTGCATGAATAGAGTTAAGAAAGGGCATCGATTCCTGAAATTTCAGCCCCCCGAAAAAATCTGGTAAGGAGGGGCAGAGTTCAAAGTCGAAAAACCCGATACAAGACGTTGCCTCATAGCTTTTCAACAAATTTAGATATCAACAAGCAGTCCCAAATGGCAAATCCCTAGGGTCTAGGGGGCTAATCCCAAATTGAACACTCAAGATTTCGAACGAGTGTACAAGTTGCATACTTATCTTATCAAAAAGTCAGGAAAAATTGACTAAATCGGATTTGAGATCACAATTTTTCTCACGTTCGTGTAAACACTGAAAAGCACCAAAAAAATAAACCATTAAATGTTCACCAAAAACGGATATGCTATATATTATACTATCATGAATTCTCTACCGCAACACAGGGGACTTATTTGTTCACATGTTATGACTGCAAAACCAATGAAAAACACGGCTTTCCGGGCTTTTAAGCCACGCGCCACGTGTCCCCACTTAGTCCGGAATTCGGCTATTGCCACGTCCTGCCCGCCTAGTCTGGCTATACCTACTGCGATTTCTCCTGGCGTCCAGTGGAGCCAGGCAAAATGTAGGTAACAACAGTCGAGTTCTACTCTTCACATCAGACACGTGGCACGCATATTAAAATAGCCCGGACAGAAGTGTTTTCCGTTCATTTCATGGTTAAGCGACTACGCGAGAAAAAATAATTTCGTAACATTGCGATAAAGAATTGATAATCAGCACAGTACACATAAAGAAAAACATATCCAACTTTGGTAAAAATTAAAAGTATGGTGTTTTTCAGGATTTCCACGAACGTGAGAAAAAATGTGGTCTCAAATCCAATCAGGTCAAATTTTCCTGACTTTGTGTTAAGATAAGTACCTATGCAACTTGTGTACATGCTCAAAACCTTAATCCATTCAGGAGTTGCACAGTGGGTAAACAGCCAATCTAGCGCCGAAAAAGTCTTGACGCTCGGAGTGTTCACTTTCCCATTGGTTTGTCACATTTAGTTGGTCTTATATATCTACCTGAGCACCATAGAAAGCATAATGCGCCGATTTTTCGTAAATTTCAGAGGTATTGATTAGCTCAATACCTCTTTATTCGGCAAAATAGCTGTAACTCACATTCCTTGAGACTTCGGTTTGTGGTTCCTGATCGGTCAGCGGAGTTCAAATAAAATATTCCTTGCTTTTTATTTTATTGTTGGTTAATTCCTTCACTATGAAGTGTACTGGTCTTACTTTCCTCTTTTTTTTTGGAATGGTTTGTGTGCTCAATAATTTTCCATAACTTTCCAGCTCCCCAAAATCTTAAAACTATGAATTTTATTGTAAATGCGCATTCTGTTAATAAATATAGTCTGAGAGAAACAACTCAAAAGTATAAATTTGCACAGATATTATACGAAAATAAATAGCTTGGCGAGGATCGAACCCGGACAATGATGATAGATACGATGCATGCTATCCACAAGCAACGGATGCTATCCACAAGCGAGGAATGCCTTCGGATACGACGAGACTCCAGTGAGAAATAGCCGTAATATAAAAGTGCGTTGGGGGAGTTGCGCGCACAGCGCTCTGCGCACGCACTCTCTCTACGCTACTCAGGTATTCAACGCTGAGCTGCTAGGTACAACGACAGTTACAATCAATCTGAGCACATGTTTAAACTAAGTTTCGATCAAATATTTCTGAAAGGCTGGGAAAAGGCTGGTTTCAACCAAGGATTTTTGTGATCTTGATAGTATAACGAGTAACTGAATATACATCTATATACATATAACTGAATATCTCCTTGGATATTGTAAGATGCAGTCTTTAGAAGTTTGAATTTCTGACTATTTCAGAGGCTAACTTTCAGAAATTGCTGTAAGTCATAGAAGTATGAAAAAAGAAAAAATTGGTATCCTTACGTTTAGGTGAGCAAGCCATTGTTGAAAAAAAATCAAAAGTCACTACATGACACACTTAGACAAACACAGGAGGCTACTGAATGTAACCACTCTGAGGCGATCCTCAACCAGCACCGCGGTAACCGGTGCGTTTCTTATTATTTATAATCTTATTCTATATTATCTTATGAAGTAGAACATGGCTGATTCTTGATCAGTAGATCCTAAGGAACACATACATACCAATTTTGGCCATTTTCATTGATGCTGATTTTCCGACTTTTTCGGCGCTAGATCGGCTGTTTTTCCCACTGTGAGTTGCCTGTGCAAATTGTATGGTGATATTTTTATTTGCAAAGTTCTAAGGCAAATGGTTTATTATCGGATTTTTCAACTTTAAACCCTATATTTCCTTGCCAGATTTCTTTTTTTTTTTTTGGGGGGGGGGGGGCTGAAAGGGCCTTACTACTTTTCGGCCAAATCGGTCTTAACATGGAATCCTACAAATTTCTTAAGGATGATAAAGGGCCTTCCCAGAGCCTCAAAATTGGGATATTTTTCGCCTGGCCCCTAGAAAAAAGGGAGAAGGGGCCATGCAAAGTAAAAATTTTTTAAAACAACATAAATTCTCAACGGCTTTCCGTGAACATATGATCTTTCTTCTATGGCTATAAATTGAATTTCACCAGCGAGAGCATCTGTTATCCAAACAATCTTAATTTTAATCCCAGTTATCACATCATGGACTTATATAAGGATTGGGAGTCGAGTAAACGGACGAATTCGATGCAGGAGCGATCTCTCGTCAGCGAGATTGAGTACGCACCCTCTAGTCTGAATCCACCCTTCACGTGATACCCACATCGGTCGCTATCCATCGAGTTCACCCTGTAAGCGAGACCGTAAGCGAACTCGCTGCAGCTACAGACTCCCTGCTGGAAAAAGACCGGGTCCGATCTCAACGACAACGCAGATTCGCTATAAGGCCTTGTCTCCACGGGACGTTTTCATGGGATTTGTTCCAAGTTCAAATCGCAGGAATGAAACTTCTGGGATTTTTCCCAGTTACCGTCTCCACGGGACGGGGCTCATACAGTCCTGCGACTAGTTTGCGCGGGAAGATAAAGTAGTTAAAGTCGAGTATTTAACCGAGATTATAATAATAAATGCACTCAATTGACAATTAGACACATTATTTTAACTAAACAAACATTAACAATGTAGTAATGAATAAAATATCGCACGATTCGTTTTCACTTCTTCTTCTTCTCTCAGTAGGTCCTAGGGGTACAAGTACCATACTTGGTACTGCGAAAAATATTGATTAACTCAATATTTTTCCCAACTTTGTAAGTGAGATTTTTCCCTGAGACAAATCTCGTGAAACGGCTCGTGGAGACAAGGTTAGGGACGGACCGGCTGGCCGGCGGATCAGCTAACGCGCTCACAGGAACTTCTCGGAAGTGGACATCGGGAGTATTGCAGGGATTGAACAGGTCACAAGCAAGCCGTCAGACGATATACATTCATGTGATTTACGGTGAGGATGATTTCCAGAGAGACGGAGACAGGGAATTCCCGGCCGCGGTGGAGGCGCACTGCGAGCGTATTTACCCCTATCTACGTACAGGTACCATTGAGTTTGAGTTTCTTCATCCGTTGACGAGGGATCTCGATCTCATGGTCTAATACCGGGCGTCGGCCGATGCCCGGTCTCCGGCTAGTGGTCCGAGACTGCCAAAAAGCATCGTGGTAGACCAGCACCTCGGGCTCGAGTTTGCCTATGGCCCAACTACCGATCTCGCTCTCCGAGACTGAGCTTGAGTCTGAGTCCCTAAGATTTAGTTCGCGAGACCGTTAAAATACCTGATAAACATACCTAATCAGATTTTTATCTACATGAGCAAAAACACGAGAATGTTTTTCTAGGGCCTTTCATTCCAGAACCCATTTCATCAAAAGATCCATCATCCATTTCCATTGTCATCTAAAGATTTATGCTATTCTTTAGTGCCCTGAGGGAGCCCATAAATTGTTTAGAATAGTCTACTTACTTTACCAACTTCACACACGGGTGTTTGTTCAACGTACAATTCTTCAGATTGGCGTTCAAAAAAAGCAGCCACTACACCGAAATACTGCCTATCCTTTCCTAATGAGCTTGTACAGTAATTTTTAATTCTTCCATTTTAGAAAATTAGAGAAAGCGCTCAGTTGACACGAATTTACTCAAAGTCTCTTGAGAGATATTAAGGGACGAAAGACGAATTTAAATTACGTGATTGGGGCTTCCATTTAAACGTGCATCGCTAAGAAAGGCAAGATGGCGGCCGCAGAGATCAGTCTAGAGTCCCTAGATCAGTCCGGTCACGGTTGTTGCAACAACCATGTTCCGTATAACTCTTATCAACGCCTGCCCGCACGGATTATGAATGGCGTAAGGGGTACCAGCAACATCATGCAGTAAATCAGCTGCCTCCTCTTTTTATTTCGAGGCGGGGGGGGGGGGGGGGGGGAGGGGGGGATTGAGCTCCTGAACAATGAAATGGGTGAGAGATTTGAGGATAAAAAATATTTAGTCATAGTACTTTCCGCGATAAAAACGCTGGCAACATTCCAAAAGTCAAAAATCAAGTCCTAAAGCCCGAAAAACCCCGTCGAAGTTCCATCAAATTCAAGTTGAAAATAAACGATTTTCATTAGCTGCAGTACAGTTGGTGAAACTACGCGTCACAACGCATGAAAGTCTCTCCTCGCCGCCATTACCCACATCTTGACCGCGTGTTTATCTAGTGGAGGTTAGGTTAGGTTCAGTTCATATCGAGCTCCAATTGGCTACGATGATGAGTGGACGCCGCCGGAAAAACCCGAGCGGGGCCGGCTGCTGCGCACCGCCCACCGCTTACCGCCGAACGGCTCCTTCGCTCCGTGAAAAAAACGGGAAAAGAGCGATTTGTAACTCATTTTCCGACCCAGAAATCGTCGAGAAGAGCCAAAAACCCAGTCTGTAACTGATTCATCTTATCTTCAGGTATTCATCAAGATAAAAAAATGAGCTTAGTCGGGAAACTCGATTTTTCCTGATTTTTTAAAAAACTCGTATTAGCACGCAGTTTAGATAGCAAAAACCCGTGGCCGTGCGTTGTGACGTCAGAGTCACGGAATTTCGAAGCGCGGGAAGGAACCCCGTTTTAAATCGTTTCTGAACTTCCGACGCTTTTTCTCCATGTTCCAATCATTAGACATTTTTCAAAAAAATACCTTAACAATCAGCACACCACCAACTTGTAGAAACTGAATTTAAAAAAATGCATACAACAACCCCATTCGGATTCTTGAGGTCGATTCTCTATTCGTTTTTGCAGTCCACAACCTTGTCCAATCTGAAAAAATAAATGATCTGAAAATATGCCTCACATGCATTGAGGCAACAGCCTTAAGACTAATCTTGTGTACATATCATTTTATTTTCAGATCATTTATTTCCTTCTACAAGGCTTCAGGCTACAGGCTTCTCCTATTTTCTGGTACAAGTTTCGCTTATCAGGTCTGATTATTTCAAATTATCTTACTCTGTCGGAATTGAAATGCCTTTCTCCTGTGATGCAGTTAACAATGGGATGAATAATTTTGGGAAAATCACTCAGCTGTGTAGTTAAACTTAATCTCATGTAAATTCTGCGCTTTTGTCAACTATTAAAACTCCCACGGTATCAAATTTCATAACCACATAATTATGGGAACTTTCAAATGTCTTATACGTTTCCCAACAATCTAATAATATTAAACCAAACGCCAATGTGGATAATTTTCGGTCACCTTCGTTAATCAAATTGCACAAAGAGTAAGAGCAAATCCAGTGTCAATTAAATTTATGGCCAAGCAAACTGATAAATACTTAGATTTTTGAGCGTATCAACTTCGGTCGAGTTTCCAAAAAACGATGCTATCGTTGAGTTTCTACAGATTGGAACATGAGAAGCACATAGAGGTCCCTACTTACTAATAAACAGTATACGCCACAAATTATATTTTAAAAAAAATGGATAAAAAGTATTTAGTGTATTTTTTTGGTGCTTTCTTTCAAATGAACTTGGCAAGATGTTTCATTACCTTCTTCATTGTCAACCACTGTACAGAAAACAACATTATCACAAAGAAATAAAGGAGGGTTAAGAATAAAGAAGAGCGTACTTGGACAGGATTAGCTGTAACTTTCTGAGCATCAAAAGTGTAGATAACCCACATTGTAATGTTGCAAATTAACAAAAATGTGACAATTTGGCGGCCTGGTTTATTCGCATCATGTTCTGGCAGGTGAACTCGGCGACGGGATACGTCGGAAATGAACACCACTTGACACAATACCTATTGAACAAAAAAAAAAATATGGGAAAGAAGGAAAGATATTCTCTTGAATGTCATGTGTTCCCTTCAAGCTTATAATGTTCCAAAATTTTCAATTACTCAAATCTTATACGAAGCTCATTCAGAAATTTTTCAGAACTATCTATTCTGACTAGATGGGATTAAGTAATCGAAAACTCAACCCTTAATTGAGTTCACATAAAAGTTCACTAATAGTAGATTTTCATGAAATGTCACATCTTTTGTCCTCTGTAAGAAAGGTCAATTATGTAGAAAGTACTTTAAAAGCTCTTAAACATTAATCTGAAAATTACTTTGATTGCCTCACACTCTCAACTGAGTCAACAAGGGGAGGCCACAATGGCTCCTCCACGGATTTTAATGATTTCGGTCCTATATGAAAGCTTATGTAAAATTAAAGTGGACGTGGTTCAGCGTTTTTGCCGATGGGCCTAGGGGAAGCTCCCACGAGCCTCCTAAAAGTCCTGTATTTCAGGCAAAAAACCACTATGTGACACTTCATGCGCTATCATGGAGAAAGAGGCATTGCTGTAATTGCCACGAGGGTGTTTCATACTGCTAATAACGGTAATGGGATTTGCAATATGGGTGGTAAGAGAGCAAAACAAATTTTTGCGACAAAAGCAAGATTAATAAAATGCGATTTTCGAATTTTTTTATTATAATATTTGGTACCAGTGGGTATTTTAACTAAAAAAATTCGAATGAGACATTACTTTTCTGAATAACCGTATGGTTCAGGTACCAGGTACCACGGGTCGGAATAGGGCCTGGCAAAGAAAAATTGTAAGATGGCCAATTTTGTTTTTTGGGGTTCAGTAAGGTCCCCGGATGTCTTTAACGAAAAACCCCGAGATTTCGAGATGATCTCGCCGATTTAGGGGGAAGGGGGGGGGCAGAATGGCCGCGAAATGAATTTTAGCGAATTATCTCGAAAAATAAGCAGAGCAGAGAGCAACATCAAAACATTGATTTGTTCCCACAAAATTTCCTACAATAATCATTTTGGTTTTTTTTTCCAGTGAACCCCCCCCCCCTCCTAAACAATAGATTTTCTCCTAAAATGACCTCCTGAGTTGCCCTCTTATGGTGGTTTTCGGCCTATAACTAGAGTTTAGCAAAAAAAAAAAGGCCGTAGTGTAATGATGTTTTTCCTCCTTAAATTTTCAAGAGGAATGGTCCTTACCGTTTTTATCGTGGGACACAGAAGGCATTTTTCACGAGGCATGCAAATTTCATAAAAAATAAATTAAATTCCCTTCAGAACATGTCAAACTCTGAATGATGGTGGCTTTACACCTTAACGTGACATTTAAGATTTCTTACTTTCTTTTTTTTCTCTCTCGGTGGCACCTTGAGAATTTGTTTAAATATATTTAAACATGTTGTAAAAATAAATACTGCAAAGGAGAAGGGAGGAGAGAAAGAGAGAGGAATAAAAGAAAGTGTAAAACTGGTAATATATATGATGCAGTTAGAGGGAGGTTGAGGCAGGAATCAACCCCACGATCTCCAGAACCTAAGCTCAGCGAGCTGGTCACTGGACTTCCAAACGTTCACACAAGGCCGGGCGAGCATACAGAGATAATAAGGGTACAACGACCACAACGTGTCACACATTGGTTTTCCGCCCAAAATACAGGACTTTTGTAAGGCTCGCAGGAGTTCCCAGTAGCCCATTGGCAAAGACGCTGCAACACATCAGCTTTAGTTTTACATTAGCCTTCAATGAAGACCAAAATCATCAAAATCTGAAGCAAAGCCATCGTGACCTCCCTTTCTATGCTGTGAAAAACTTATTTTAACAACATTTAATCATTGAATAATATAGTAAGTGCTCCTATGTCACTGTTGGTTGAAAATAATTCATACTTCTTGTTTTAATTACCCCCTCCCCCAGGCACAATTCAGAAAAGGATACACCATGGGGAACAGAAATATTTACTCCTAAAAAAAAAAAAAAAAAAAAAAAAAAAAAAAAAAAAAAAATTGTGCAAGGAGATAAAATATTCAAAACATGCTAACCTGAAGAACTGTTATTGATCCAGTAATCATAACAAGTAAATTTGGCTCACTTGACATAAAAGTCAAAGAACCAGCAATGACAGAGAACATTGCATAGATAAAAATACCAAAAGCTGACACGCGTTGTAACAGATCATTCAGGCTATTGCCTTCATCGTAGTAATACTTCAAGCGCCGAACTCTGGGGAAAAAAACCACGAGGAGAGTTAAAAATTTGCTAATACTTGAGAAATGTTTCTCTGCAGGGAGACTGCCTAAAGTCATGGACATGGGCTTGACAGACCTGCAGTCCCAAGTTACCTACCTTTAAACCCTTTTTGAAAGAGGAAGCCTTCATAACGGCCCAATCTAGATTGTTCATCCAAGCTAATTAGGTCTCTTGACACTCCAGCTTTTATTTTCACAATCTTTACTCTAAATGGTTAACACTTCTTGATTTGAATCGGACAGCTATAGACCTTTAACATTTATAACTGGTAAAAAATGCTCAAACATCGTGAAAATGTGATTTTTGACAAAAACAGTCTCCTAGATTTTCGAATATTCTGTCTCAATTCAAGCTGCGGATTCGTGCAGCTTTGATAGTACTTGAATTTCAATTTGAATTCCGTCCAGTTCAGTCAAGCCGACTGGACTCTAAGGTAGGTCAAGACTTGACATGAGACGTAAAGGAGATAACATTGACTTAAGTGCAGATGATCCACTTCTTCAGTTAGTGGATCTTGCAACAACAGTAGCTGGGCCAAAAATGCTCAAATATAGCGGGAAACACAATATTTTATATTGTTGCTGTAGTTTTTTTTAAAAACATTCACTTAAATTTTTATTTTTTGTTGTCATTCTAGCTCATGGTACACATGTTAAAATTTTTTAAAAAAATTATTATTTAAACGACCAAATTATGTGTTTTAAAGTAGTTTGAAGAAACCAACAATAATACAAACATGACAAAAAAGAAGACTTTCGTGTTAGGACGAGAATCACTAGAGAGCCACTCTGATTTCAGTTTTTTAAAGTTCACTGTAACAGCAGCGGGGCTATGTAAATCATTTTCGCCCATGATATCAAAACCTAGTGGGATCGTCTGCACAGAATTTTTATAGTTTAACTCAGGGTGGCAAAATTTCATGAAAAATAAAATCTTGAAATTTAACTTGAAATATTTCATGGAATTTTAGTTTATGAAATATATTGAAAAATACCGGTTCTTTTTCATGTTTCGTAAAATGTGAAAATTATGACTTTCTTTGATTTTTGTGTGTTTGAGTGTGGGTTGCATACTTTAGCCCCTGAAAAATATGAAATATTTCACAGCCTCATGAAATTTCATGAAAAATTACACTGAAATTTCCCATCTTCCATCTTTTCCAAACGTTTCATGCCACCCTAGTTCAACTGCCCCCACCTGGTCGTATTTTCGACCTTAGCCAATCCAATGCCTAAGTTTTTTATGATTATATCTTGCTGATTAGAGGACAGTAAAATTTTGATATACAATACATAAACTATAAACATCAACCAAACTTCGGAGAGAAGGAGATCATGAATTAAAGTTACGTCAAGTGGCTGAATACATGTAATTTTAAGTAATCAACAAATCATGGTCGACTTTCAGCCATCCAAGTAGCCCATTTCTGAAACTTTTTATGAGTAACCATGGTATACAAAAATCACCTGATGTCAAAATTAAAGATGGTCTGAGAAGACAAGAAAAAATTAAAAAAATAGGGCACACCTCCAGAAGCCGATGAATATCGCCAGTATGCTGAGGACCATGACAATGCAATGGGATACATCTGCCAAATACACAGCGAGTAAACCCAACTGAGGATGGTGGATGAGCACAAAGAAGAGGATGAGACAAATGAGAGAGCCAACTAACAACAGAAGCCCGATGAATAGGCCCTTGCTGGCACCAACACAATCCATTCGTCCAGTTGTTGCCTGGGCAATTGCAATTGCTCTCCTCGATAACATTGCTTCCAAGCGATGTTCCAGGTCTTCCTCAGAGTATCTGATTTTAGGAGTATGAATAAAATAAGTTCATGAAATGAGAAGAACAACAATCAAATACAAAAAGGAAATTTTGAATTTTTCTGCAAAAAGTGCTTTACTTTTACTTATACTAATTTCTTGTTACTCTAATAGTGAAGACGAGCCCTGAAAATGTCTAAATGCAGATCTGTTTTATCGGTTATCCTTCCATACTGAATCATGGAACTTGCTATTTTACAAATTTTCGGACCTCCTTCGTCAATGCCAGGTGACAAAAAGTAAAAGTTATTTTTTACGTTAAGTTCGGGCATCTCCCGAAGAAGAACTAGGACATAAGTTACCAGATCACCGCCGCCGCCTTCTTAAACTGTAGGCATGTTAATGAGTATTCCGCGGTCGAACCGTGGCAAAACTTTTGTACGTTATGTGTTATTCCGGACGTCGTAATGATGGCATTTTTGTAGGAAAAATCTGTTATGCAATTTGTTCCAAGGTAGCCTTCTTCCTTCTGTACACTACCTGAACTAAAGGAGAAGTTAAAAAAATAAAAGTTTTTCCAAGCTTCACACTAAAACGTTTGCACTGAGAGAAATAAGATACAAAAGATTTTATTGGGAAGTTAATTTCTGACAACGGATGTCCTTTAAATTTTTATTGCATTTGTTACCGTTACCAAGTTATCATCGAAAAACCTAAATTTTCCGCAAATATTGACATCAACGTCAATCCAGGCAATCAAAACGCAAACGGAAAAATTCAGGAAAAATCATGCATTCTGCTTGAATGACTTTACAACTTTCGCACCAAGTCCATTGTTAAAAAAAAAATCCCAAAAACGCATCGCTCTAGCAATCACTGATGTGTTATCCTTTACTTCTATAAGAAGTTTTACACTCTCCCTTCTAAACACCGGGTGATCCAGACCACCCACCCACTATCCCTATCCAGAGAACCACTGAAAATCGAGTTTTGAGGGGCAGGCCCGCCATAAGGGTAAAGATACTGGGTCCAAGGCCTGGGCCCCGGTACCATGGACCCAGTATCCCCACTCTTGTGGCGGGCCCCGCCCTCAAAACTCGATTTTCAGTGGTTCTCTGGATAGAGATAGTATACAAGTGGTCTGGATCACCCAGTATATTAATCAATTCCCTAGAAAGATGTAATTCGATGACCTGACCGGTTTACTTGCTGCGGTAGTTCATCTAAAATAACATGAAAAAATACCAAGAACAAGTCAATTTAACAATCAAATTCTATTCCTAGTAGTCTCTTATTTTCTACTGAGGTGTCTGAGCATTTCTCTTACTTAGGGAGTCGGCCTATGTGTTTCCACATGATGTAGATGACAGCTGCACCAACTAAACAATACTCCACAATGAATGGATACAAAAATGGAGCTGAGTCTCGCACAATGTTGCCCATGATATTGATACGTCCACATTTTTTAGGATCAATGTAAGTGCCGTTCAACATGACAAGTGCCTCAGCTACTGGCTGGTCCCATATGGTCGGCGCTGCTGATAGGTTATCTATGAAATCATAAAATTACACGTGGTGTAACATTTTTAATAAAATGGGCAATTCCCATCGAACTTTAGTTTCATACTACCTCACCTTCACTACATGAAACGCATGTGATAAATTCCAATTAACTCAGAAACAAGAGTTGGTTGCTTTTAGATTTTGCGTTAATTGGAGATCACTGAATTCAGGCTATATTAAAATTGTTCTCTGGTGTACAGTCACCCCCGCTGAGTCAATTCAAGGATCAAGCTTAGGTTTGATTCAGACGGAGATTTGAGTAAGCATCCCAAGTACAATTTCCACTGAAAAAAAATCGACTTAAAGCGATGATATGAAAATTCTGAGATGACTCTAAGAATACGACTGGCTAGGTGACTTCTGACGAATTTTGAATACAGAGAAAGTAGACAGTTAGATCATAACGTAAATAAGTATCACTCTACATTTAAGCATACTAAGCTTACTCGCTTCGGAACAGCATGGCGCATTTCGCATCGTCTCGCTCACGGCGCGCTATGAGTGGACGAGTTGGATGGCTGTAGGTACGCTCTTCCCTCTGGTAACAAGGAGCGACCACGGAGGTGTCCCTGAGTTAATGTGCCGGACTGCAGCGATCGATTTTTAGGGGCAAAATAAGACTTCTCTCTTTTATGATTTATTTTCTGAAAACGCTTTTTCCTCGACACAACAGCTTATCAAAGTTGAGAATTTTCCCCTGAGAGAGGATATTCTAAAAATGTCAATTGTACCCCCCCCCTTCACCACGGTTTTGGTGAAAACTTTGCTCAGATGTTGTACTAGGTGTCCCCTATAATAAGAGGCAGTGAACAGAGCGAGTAAATGGCATGATAAAAACACCACAAACTGTCAACGAGATCCTACATGTAGTTGGTACCGAGTATCCGGAGATTTTCCGAAAATTCTTTAAGTCATTAAAGCAGTTCGTTTTGAAGGAGCAGAAATAAGTGAATAAAAATATAAAAAAAATAAATATTAAACCACCATAATGAAAAAGGACAAAAATCAATAAATACATCTCTCATCAGTGCATCAATTTCAAAAAACTTTAAAAACACAGAACATCTTTAATGCAAGCAAGAACCAACAACTAAACATTAAAGAGCCTTTTAGACAACTTCAGAAAATTATAAATTCTTTGACTTCAGAAAAAATTCTCTATGCTAAGAAATAGAGATGCTTTATGTTAGAGTAAATTAAAAAATACGCAGAAATCGAGGTACTGAATAGTTAGGTACAGAAAACAAATGAAATGAAACTTAGCTAAAACACAACTTCATAAACTAGGAAAAGGGGTTTAAAAAAAGAGGGATTTACTGATTGAAACAATTTAACAGATTAGAGCTGAACAGAATAAAAACAAAAAAATTAATAACAACAGGCTAATCATGAGGCTCAAACCAATCAAATTAATTTAAATTATACAAATTCTCAGTACCTAATAAAAAGAAATCTGAGACAAAGCAGAAGGAAAATAGCAAATGGCTTAGTTTCCTACAAAACTTACGTAAGGAGGAAACATTCTGCGTGAAGGTCTGATTCTCATTGTTCCACAGTTTGAAAAATGCTGGAGCTGTTGAAGGAATTCCTGAGTTGGCGGTAGAGATGTGAGCTGTAGTGGACGCATTCAAAGTTTTGATGAGGTGCGGGATTGTGGGTATACTTGAAGGTAGGGTCACTGCTGCTGAGGCAGTTGATACACTCGATGAGAATGTGAATGGTGTTGTGGGGCGGTTGGTCGTCAGTTCCACTGAAGGAGTTGTTGGGGTAGTTGAGACATGGCTTAAGATCTTACTCATTGTTGAGCTAAAAATTTTTGTGGTCGTTTTGAGGTGCCCTGCAGGTGCAAATGTTACAGGTGCACGTTTAATTTGATTAATGCGGTTGCCGCCCCCTGAAAATAGATCCGTTACCACTTGAAAGTCAAAAATGGCCACAGACTGAAGTTCTAAAAAGCATTCCCACTTTGTGAGTGATCAAACTGTATTATAAGAGGAGCAGCTTTGGAGAAGCACATAGCTTGGTTATTTTCCAGAGACACAAATCGTACTCCTTAAAGTAGGAAACACACCAATTCAGTTCCAACCGGCCTGCCAGCCGGACTGTTGACAGTTGTATCTTGCTGGACGTCCTAAAGAATGATTGCCCGCAAACAAATACAATCTGGCTCGGCTACATCCGGCACCTGGATAGCAATCTTGCTCAAAATGCAAGATTGAGGGCGAACGGACTGAAACCGGCGATGCCTCTCGCCACCACCGCACAGTGTGTCAAAACCTCATCCAGCAGCTCAAAACCTCTCTCACGCTCTCCAAAGGTCAGATAGCCACCAAGTTCAACAAAGATGTAGGTATAGACTTGAAGAAGGTTCAATTAAAAGTTCCAAACTGGGACATCAAAATTTTCAAAATTAGGTACGGCCATCTAAAAATCCTGTTTAGCTCATGTGATATTGTTGTGGTTTCCAGGATCTTTCAATGAAAGATCCTGGAAACCACCACAATATATGTAAACTGTCAGATAATTTGTAAGAGACATAGGAACTTGATCTGACTGACCCAAAAAATTAGTCCGATTGCTCATTTTGTTAAAAAAAAAAAAGTCAAGGAGGATGTCCAAAGCTTTTGTAACATTACATCTTCAAAATTGCGACTGTCTTGGCTTTCCATGAAAGAAATCAGTAAAATTACGATTCGGCAACTCATCCAGATTAGTCAGTGGTTATATTTGATATATTATGGTGCACACGAAAAAGAAAATCTGGGGGAAACTTTCTAAGGAAATAATAAATCCAAAGTAGGGTGCTTTTTGGGAAGAAAAAATACAATTTAGTTCAATTTGACTTCAACAAGTCAAAATTATGTAACATTTGAAGGATTTTTTTCCAGCACATGCACTACTGCAGAACATTGCAATTTTTTTTGTAGGGGAAAATAAACAAAAATTCTCTCTGAAAATAGACAGTTTGCACAGAACCTTAAATTTGCAATTTAATTTAATAGAATTGAAACTTTGGTGTTGCATTTCTACGATAAATTGCAACACTGTGCCGTAGAGAGGTGAGGTGATGTCTCTGCCCCATATCAGAGGACGTGTCAACCTTTGATGCTGATGCCCACTCCAACGTTGAATGCAGAGCCCTTTCACGCTCCGCTTTGCCCAAAAAATGTGCTCTCATTCTTAAAAACGCAAAAAGACGCAGCCAAAGTAAAGATTTATCACATCCAGATAGTTTTCTGAATCCTCTCGTATAAATCCTGTGTAGTTCTGTGTTGTTCCACACGTTTGCAGCTTTGGTAAAATTAGAAAAATTGAATGGATATTTGCACTATTTGTTATGTGCAACATAATAGCTTAATGATTTTTTTGGTCAAAGAAATTGTCATACTCAGTTTCTCTGGTCTTTAACTTTTCATTTCAGCCAAGAATGATACTTTTGCATCACACAGTAGTCGAACAAGAAACAACACATTGACACTATTTTTCGCACCGAAATTGAGGCGGCACACTTACCGGCTGAAATTCTCATCACTAAATCGACTGAAATAATTATTTTGGTGAAAATCATAAGTCATTCATACAGTCATAATATACCACAGGTCAGTGGGTACCTGTGAACACACTCTAACGACGAATAATCTTGTTCGTTGACCTAATATTAGGGGGTGTTTTCAGCAACTAGATTCGGTTTTGACACACTGTGCACCGCACTGTTGTTTTTGCCAAGTTTTTGACACCCTTCCCCCTCTCGAGAGGCACACTGAGTCGAAATATTGAAGAAGAGACATGACAGAGGAAACAGAGAGATATTAGAAATTTGACTGAAATTGTGGTCATTAATAGAGATGGGTGATCTCAATTTTCAAGAGAAAAAGCTAGAGAAATGAAGCTGTGGTGCCTCCAGTTTAAATATATTATTCTGAGAATAAAGGATCACCCCCCAGATTCAAAAGTTAAAAGGGGAGAAACCAAGTACAATAAAGATACAAGATAGTGGAAATGGGAAATTTGCCGGCTACTTTTTTTACTGAAACCTAAAATTCCGAAAGCCTTGCTACCTGCAAAATCCATTATAAAATGACCCAAATGACACCTGATTCCTGCATAAACACAGCCTTGACTTTGGGTGATGATATATTACCGCTACAAACGGCGCGGCATACCATACATGGGTGGATGTGGATCGATCTGCCTGGGCTATGTACGTGCTATTCATGTATACTAAACTGCACTGATGATGAGTTGTTCCAAATAAATGTATATTTTCATTTTAACTATTCATGTACACTAAACTGCAGTGGCGATGAGTTGTTCCAAGTGAATGTATATTTTTATCATAACTACTGAATAGACACAATTAATATTTATTTAGCTCCTCTGGCGCTCCTCATTTTGGTTTACAAAGCCTCCTTTAAAACTTTTTAAGCCAACACTTTAAATCATAAAACTTTAAAGATACGTAGTTTTTGATCAACTGCGTTTGGAAGGAGTTAAAAAAAAAATTTAAATATGAAGCGGTAAAGCTGACTTTTTGTGCTAAACTGATAACGTTCCCGCAGAAAATAGTGAAAAGTTAAAAATTCGGACTCAATGCTAAGAATCTCATTGGTGCCACCCATGAAACCTTGTGCTGCAATTTTTCTAAGGTAATTTATTTTTCTTAATTCCAATGACAGCCAAAAATTGCTGCGGCATTTTTAGATCATGGCACAATAATTTCAATAAATCTCGTTTTTGGGAGTGAATCTAATCTTATTGTTGGCTGATCAATGATGATATCTTCATTTGTAAAATTTTACAAGCCCTCCGATTTTTTCTTGATTTGATGTATTTTAAAACAAGAAATAGCTATTTGAAAGATGAACTGAAATTTTTGGAGAAAATTTAAATGTCAAGAGGTACCAGTTTTTGTAACATTGCATGGTGTCAAAGACATGAAAACGGAGCGCTAAAAGCAAAAAATGAAGCTTCTTTTCAACCACCTCTACTATTGGCTAGAGGATTGGCGGCAAAATCGGGACGAGTTTGAAATTCAAATGTAGGGCGGGAACTGAATGAAATTGCGTAAACAAAGGTTGATTTTTGCCCAAATTCACTTGCCCACATATGTTCTTTTAGCTTCAGGTTATTTTTGGTCCGTCATGGACCAATTAATTTCATTTGGGAGTAACGGTCATCTAGGACTGTAACAACCTGTTTGAACCGGCAGGACCACAATGAGCAGAAGAAAAACTAACTTTATCTGAGATTAATGCCTGTTACCGAGCAAAAGTAGGTGTATTATAAAAATTCAAGGTCCCAACTTTCTTAATATATTTATTGTAAGCATTTAAAACGCGCTTAGAAGAAGAAATGTGGAAAAATCAAGGAGACAAGTTCAAATCAAATTTCCGTTTGCCGCCATGAATTCCCGCGCTTATTTACACACTCACACAAGCACTCAGCGTCAAACCAGGCTTCACTTTTTCCCCGTACTTTTAGTTACGAGCACTCCGTCTTTATGTCTTTGCATGGTGTCGACGATCATGGCGTCAATAAACCCAAAATATGTTTATGGTGTCAATGATTGTTGACGTCTTGCTTAGGCAGAGAAAAGTCAAAATGGGCCGCTGAGAAGGTGTCAACAAACAGAAAATATCCTTCTAACAAGTAAAACCAAAAAATTAAGTTCCTAGGAGAGGTTTGGATCACAAATAATGAGGTTAGGTTACATTACATTAGGGTAGGTTAGGTTAGGTAAGTGTAAATTAGGTGAGATTAAAGTAAGGTAGGGTAAAGGTCGTAGAAGATTTCGTTCAGTGAAGTTGGGTCAGGTCAGGCAAGGTAAAGTTGGGTTAGGTTAGGAGAGGTAAAGTTGGGTTAGGTTAGGATAGGTAAAGTTGGGTGAGTTTAAGTTAGGTTAAGTTAGGTTAGGTTAGGTAAGTTTAAATGACACAAGAAAAACAAAACTTACAATATGAAAGATGTTATAGAAGGAATTTTTAAATTTCGTTGACACCGTGATCATCTTTCATAGCAGGCAGAATTTCTTTTATTTTTGGATGATCATGGTGTCAACAAAAACTTAAAAAAACTGATTGTTGACACCATGATCATTGACACCATGCTACGTAATCCCAGTTTTTGCCAGCAGCCATTTTAAAGCACTTTGAGGGGTTTAACAAAAATGTTATGTGAACATCGATTTTGTTGGATTTTAGGTAATTTAATTTCACGTATCAGGTGTTCCAGACCACCCATCTACAAGCTTTTTCTCGGAAACGGCCGAAAATTGAGCTTCGGGACGAAAACTTACCTGGGTTAATCAACCCAAAAAAATTCAATGGAAATATTTTCATCCCTCCAAAACCCCATTTTTGGAGAGGAGGTTTAAGGGGGGGGGGCCATTTCTTGCATCTTTCAAATAGGAAGGGTATGTTTTGACTTCGGATTTAAATTCTATGGCCAAAATTAGGAACTATTTGTTCTAAACGCTTTTTCCCATTTTTTTGGAGCTAAGGGGCTTTTTAAGAGCAAATTTCAATTCGACACAGTAGGCGTTAAAATTATCTGAATTTCAAAATCTAAAAGTCTCCTAGGAGAGGAGATAAAGACCTTTTTATTGATAGAAAAAACAACTTAATCGGCCCGAAACATTTATAAGGAAACAACTTAAAACGGGACTAAGGCCGCAAATAATAAACATAAAATAAAATAAAAAACCCGGGATGTTTTGCAGGGATCACACTCGCATTTTCAACCGGCAAAAAACAAGAAAATTATAAGAAGGAGACTATGAGCCTCACCGTTGTTATTTTGAGACTGATACAATAACATACTGTGACAATAACAACGATGAGGCTCATAGTGTCCTTCTTGTAATTTTCTTGTTTTTTTGCCGGTTGAAATTGCGGGTGTGATCCCACCGAAACGTCCCGGGTTTTTTATTTTATTTTATGTTTATTATTTGCGGCCTTAGTCCCGTCTTAAATTGTTCCTTTTTATTGATGTGCCACATGACCCCTGTTGATCCCAAATTACGGAGGTCACGACCGCCCGAAAATTTTTGGGCTCTGGAGGGCCGTAAGTCAAACATTTCAAACAGCAAATGTATATTTTGACTTCGGATTTGGATTCAACGCAAAAAGTTACTTAGAATTGATACGGCATGTGGCCTATTTGCCTCTACCTTTAGAATCCTATTTCCCTATAGGAAACCGAGTATTTTCGCAGGAAAAAAGGCGCAAAAAAAATGTAGGGCAAAGAAGCCACACTCGAGACTTTTCGCGTGGAATCCAAATCTGAACTCAAAAATACCCTTGCTGAATGAAATTTTTGACTTACAGCCCTCCAAAGCCCCGAAATTTTTGAGGGGTTGTTGCCTCCATAATTTTGGATCAACAGGGGTCATAGGGCACATCAATACAAAGGTATTGATCTCTTCTCCTAGGAGACTTTTAGATTCAAAAATCGGATAATTTTAACGCCTAAAGTGTCTAATTGAAATTTGCCCATAAAATGCCCCAAAATACCCCGTAACTCAAAAAAAGGGGGGTTTAGGGAAAAAAAGCATGGAACAGAAAGTTTTTATTTTCGACCATGGAATTAAAATCCGAACTCATATATCCTTCCTATTTGATATATGTGAGAAACGGGGGCGCTCCCCTAATGTTCCGTCAAAATGGGGTTTTGGGGGGCTGAAAATATTTTTATTGAAACCTTAGGACATGATTTACCCCGAAGGCTTTTCGTCTCGATTTCCGGCCGTGTCTGAGAAAAAGATAGTGGACGGGTGCTCTGGAACACCCGGTATAATTATTATATAAATTTATCAAAACTGGCCCTTCCTCAATTCATCAAAAAAAAGAAAAAAGAAAACTGAAAAAAGGTCTATTTTGGGGCTTCTTTAGGTGGTGGGGGCAAGCGTACAAGAATTTCTCGGTGCGTTTTTTCTGGGGAATAAGGGATCTTCATTAATGACCAAGGCACAATAAACCCTTAAACAGAATGTTTTCTTCTAATTTTCCCAAAATGCCTAGACTACCAATTAAAAATATTCATTATCATTTTCAGATAGTCTAGGGTAACTGTAAGATACAATTTTTCGATGACTTTTGGAGAAATTACAATAATTACCATGAGTAGCAGTAATAGGAATTACAAAAAGAAAAAAATTATTACGAGTTTTTTCCCCCGAAGTTTGACTTTCATAGGTTCTCCCGGTTCTTATGCTACAATGCAGAGTAAATAGGATATTTCTAGGTGTAGAAACCAAATGCACCATCCATATTTTTAAGTATTCTCCAGTCTTCCTGGAGAGGTATTGCGTAGAAGTTGCAACTTGTGGAGTATAAAGCACTTAGCGTTTACAGAGTATTTTTAGACATGAAAACTGAATCTGTGTTCAAACTTGTTGATGCTTTACTTTGCAAACCGTCTGAGAGGAATTTACAGGGAGGAATGGGAGCTCAAAATACCCAACTTTGGGCTCGTTTTTTGTGGGTTAATATTGTTAAAAAAATCTTGGAAATTTCCTGTGAACTATGTGCACTCTCTAGTTTTCAAAAATGCAGAAATCAAACATTACTGAAAAAGCTCATTGTTAGGTTTAAACTACGAGAACCTTGCTTACTGAATCATTTTTAGAGGCAGAACGGAGGAATTTTCCAGGAATAGGGGCCATGGGCTTATTGACTCTTTTTCTGGATTCTTAAGAGGTTGATTCTGTATACCCTACCGTATGTATACATGGAGTTTCACGTTGACATTTCTGATGACAGAAACACGGGTTGTGGAGGTGCCTCCAAAAGGAAGGTCCATCGGTTAAGGGAGTAATGGTATGTACTTCACTTAAAACTCCTCTCTGACGGTTTATCAAGAAAAGCATTGGAAAATTTAGAAAACAGGATCAGTTTTCATGCCTAAAAATACTCTGTAAAGCTCAAAATACCCAACTTAAACTCGTTTTACGTTGGTTAGTATTGTTCAAAAAATCGGAGAAAATTCCTGTGAACTATGTGCACTCTAGTTTTCAAAAATGCAGGAATTAAACATTATTGAATAAGCTCATTTTAAATTAACAGTCACCTGAGAGGCAACCAATCTCTTTAGTGTCCAGCTGATGGCATTTTTGATTTCTGCCACAGACACAAATCTGAGGTTTGAATTTCATCACTCAGGAGGCAATGTCATAGAGGATAAAACTTACCATACAAAGCAAATTCACTAGTTAAATTTTGTTTTGTTCCGTTGGTGATTGGTGGGATTGTAGGAATACCAGATAAATTGTGCCTACTCGTGTACAGGTCGTATTCCTTGATGCTTTCCAGAACAGTGGTGCGGATCCAAACACAAAGATTGGTTGCAACAATATGCATCAGACCAAAACGTGCGACCACCTTGAATCTATGAATGTTTAACTGAAATCACAAATACAATGAGGGCAGGTTGAAGAGGATGGACACTGATGAAAGAGAAGTAGTTAATCATGAAAAATTTGTTGATTGTAAAATTGGACAGAAAAAAAAACACAAAAATTATGCAATGCTATGTGATACCAAAATCAAAGACAGTAAAAGCTTATGAAAAAAAGCAAAATTTAAGCAATATAAAGTAAAGTTTGATTTAAGTAATAAAAAAGTGAAGAGATTGATATGGTTTTATCCGACGGAAAATCTCTGAAGAATTTAAATAAGACAATTTCCAAGTTTTCTGGGATTTATTATATATTATCAGAAAAAAGCAACATCGGAATTCCTTTAAATGTTTAGGTATATTTTTCATGGTAGCATAGTTTTCTATGCTGCCATGAAAAATAAAAACATGAAAAAGAGTAAAGAAGAGTAAAAACTCACCCGAGAATTCATAAAGATGAAGTACATCTGCATGAAAGTGAAGATCATTTGAAGTACAGGATTGATGCCCTTCAGGATTTGGTAACACGGGGAATTGAATGGTGTTTCAAAAAAGACCCCAAACTCAAGTCCACTGTAAATCATGGTACCAAGACCGAACGCTGAAAATACGACCAACTTTCTAGAAAACCTCAATATTTGAGTTAACACTTTACTTTACGCTTATATTACCTTATATTCACAAAGAAGAGGTAGAGAGACTTTCTCTTTACCACAGAGGTAAAGAGAAAAAAACTGCCGTTAATTCGAGGATAAAAAAATATAGAAAAAATGAAAAATGGAATTCTGACACGAAAATCCATTTATTCTTCCATATCAACGGTGTAAGTCGGCAATCATATAACTCGGTTTGCGACGTCACAGACTTCCTGTCATACTTTATTTTTAAACGGGAAACTACTCAACGGCAACTCATTAAAACTACCGTGATTTTTCTTCTCGGTGCGAAGAAAATTCTGCAAAAACTTCAAGGAATGATGTCAATTTGTTCTCCTTCAAAAAAATAACACAGAGGCGGAGATTTTCAGACACCGCAAACGAGTTATGTGATTGCCGACTTACACCGTCGATATGTACCTTAGTCAACATAGGGTGACACAACAACTAGATGAGAACATTCTTCACACTGCACTGACTAGAGTCTGAATATAATCTATCTGCAAAGAAGAACTGTTTTTTGAGTTTTTTGTTGAACAGTCAAACCCTCTTTTTGACACACTAAGGGTAAATCTATTAACCACAAGAACTATCTCAAAAAAGCATGAGAAAAAGAAACTCACCAATTGCTCCAACGCGTAGGAAAAAACTACCATGACTTTGGCTGCTATGTGTTGTTTTTCGTTTGCGGCCAAAATTGGCTACAATAGGAGGGCTAGGCTCGTACACTTGAACTGAATCTTGAGATGGAGTTTCTAATCCTTTCTCTTTCTTCATAGCAGTTGTCACCACACCCTAGGCATAAGTTAAGATTGATCTAAAGCTCAGAAAAGTAAGGAATTTCTCGGCACAAGGGGCGTCACCACTGTGTTTTGATTTTGAGGGTCTTTTCATTATAGTTCGTACAACTTGACGTAAGTCCTAGAGCTTTTGTGAAAATGAAAGGAATTTCTGTTAAAATCGAAGAGTCATACCTAAGTTGCAGCTATGGCATTCTTCTTCCTTTTGGCACTAAAAAAGATATGAAAAGAAAGGACTGCGTGCAAAACGGGCCATTTAGGGCTCGAGGCGGATACCTTTAAGACTTGCCCTATTCATTCACCTAAGAATGCTCCATCTTTTCCCAAAGTTTCAAGCCCCCCAAAAATTTTGGGCAGACACGGCGGGAGGTCAAAGTTAAAAACCGGCGAAATTTCCGCGAATTTATTACTCGAAAACCAAGAAGTGTTGGAAAACGCGGTTTAAACGAGCGTATTTAGCGTGACGAGAGCTATCAGAAAATGTAGAACGTCATAGGGTTTTGTCAACTTCAACTCGAGTTATCGCCTCCGAAGCGCCGAAACGCTCAAAAAAAATCCCTTATTTTTTCACGTCCGGGGCGGTTTAAGAAAAAGCCATTTTTTAATTTTGATGAAAAACTGATATGTTGTCCTTGACTATCTGTAGCCCCTCTAGCTCTTTCCTGCATGCTGGGGAAATGTTTTGGTCGCGAGTTATAAGAGCGGAAAAGAGAGAAGGTCGGGAAAATTGGCTAATTTAAACTGCGCGCGCGGCGATGATCGGAAGGAAAGCATCCCCTCCCACTCAGTTCAGCGAATCACACTCCTCTGCCGACCTCGCATTGTTGCCACATGTCTCCTGATCCGTCGCCGCGCGCAGTTTAAAATAGCCGATTTTCCCGACCTTCGCTCCTTTCCGCTCTTATAACTCAAGACCAAAACATTTCCCCAGCATGCGGTAAAGAGCTAGAGGGGCTACAAAGCGTCAGGAACAACATATCAGTTTTTCATCAAAATAAAAATTGGATTTTTCTTAAATCGGCCCGAACGTGAAAAAATAAGGGATTTTTTTTGAGCGTTTCGGCGCTTCGGAGGCGATAACTCGAGTTGAAGTTGACAAAACCCTATGATGTTATACATTTTCTGAAAGCTCTCGTCACGCTAAATACGCTCGTTTAAACCGCGTTTTCCGGAACTTCTTGGTTTTCGAGTGATAAATTCGCGGAAATTTCGCCGTTTTTTAACTGTGACCTCCCGCCGTGTCTGCCCAAAATTTTTGTGGGGCTTGAAACTTTGGGAAAAGACGGGGCATTCTTAGGTGAATGAATAGGGCAAGTCTCAAAGGTATCCGCCCCGAGGCCCGTTTTGCACGTAGTCCTTTCTGAAACTCTGTAACTTGATCTCAGAAAAAAGTAGGGTTAAGCAGAACGACCTTGATGCGACCAATCACGAGTGATCTCTCTCAGCAGCTGCAGATATCTCTCTCCCACCGTGAGCTATTTCTCTCGTACTTACAGTTTTAGTCTTTATTATTAAACTTACAAAGCTCGTGTTTAGTTGTAAACATTCCAGACTTATGCTGATAGAACTTATGAGTCCCAGAATATAATATACCCATTATAAAATTTACATAATCACTAATTTCGGAACCAGATTTTTGAAGCACGACGTGGTGCATTTTTTCGGAACTACACCTGAAGATTCACCTTAAATAGGCAACTTGAAAGCTACAGGTTATGTTATCTCTCATATCAGCTTGACAAAGAAACAACACAAAATATTCTCTTTTCAATGTAAAGGTGATATTTAAGTGCAGATTTTTTTATTCAGGAAGCTAAACAAATTACTCGTCATTCTCTCCAGGAAAATTAAGTTAAGTCTAAATCTGCTGGATTTATTTCCACCCAAGAGCTAGTCGTTTTGGACGCGTGACGCGCGTCTGTCACGGCTGACCAAGGGGCTGGGCCCCCTAGACCCCCGGCCACTCGCCAGTCGCCGTTGACATTCTGCTCGCTCCACAAGCTATTTTTCTAAGAAGTTGGACATATAATCACTATGATGTATAAATTTTGGAGACCCTCAAGGAAAGAATGATTTTGTCACAGAACCTTGTTACCGGAGCGTGCCATCATTAGCACATTAATGAATATGTGGAGATTAAGCAATGATGGGGATCGATCATTTCTTCAAAAACGCATTTGACTGGGACGCTAGTTCCATCCAGTGGAGGAAAGTGACAACTGTGGATCTCCTTCCGCGATTTGACACGCTGAAGAAGCAAAAATTCATCTTCACTTCCTGGGTAGATTATCGGTGGCATAGGGGTCTAAAAACTGTTCAACGATAGTGTAGTTCGAGCTCCGAATCGCTCTGAGCCCACTTGTGTTTTTTTTTCTGATACTTCCATTGTATATAAATTTCTCTGATGTTTTTGTCTTATTCTCTCTGATTGCATAAGTAGTTATATCCTCATTTCATTTACTTTCCCTTTCATTTCTTCCTTTGAGGTAGCATATGTGTCTATTTACAATTATTATTATTATAAATAGCTTTCCCTAATATACATTTGATGCTTCAAACGAAACCAATTTGTTTTAATGACATTTCCGGCTAAATCATGGGTTTTCCCAGGAAGGCAGCCTCTCGTCCCCCCAGACTCTACTGTTGCCAGAGAAGTTGCTTTTTCAGCACTTTTCCCAGTTCAAACTCATGTAAAATATTCACATCTACCCCACAATCTGCCAACCCCTCGAGTGAAATAGAAAAAAATAGAATCGATTAAAAGGTGGAATCCTTCCACTCTTTATTTTATCCAAGTATATGTATATTGCTGCTTCTAGCCGTTCTACACGCGCTTAAGGGGCTGCGCCTCCTGGACCCCCGGTCACTCGCTACGCGAGCCATTTTTCTGAGTAGGTAGTAGGACATTTAATCACTATACAGGGTTGCCACAGAATTTAGAAAATGAAATTCCCTGACATTTCTCTGACACATTTTGGTGAAATTCCCTGAAAATTGAAAATGTGACCGATGGCTAAGAAGGCATTATTGAAAATAGTTTTTAGGCAAAATTTGTTGTTCGAAACCTCAAACCCATCTTATAGAGCAAATGAAGGTGATTATACAAATTTTCCCTGACAATTTCGTCATTTTCCCCGATTTTTTAAAATTCCCTGACATTTCCCGGTACTCCCAGTTTTCCTTGAATGTGGAAACCCTGACTATAATGTATACATTTTGGAGACTCTCGAGACAAAAATTATTTTGTCACAGAACCTTAATAAAATAATCTGATCAAATAAAAAAATCTGCCTGGAGGTAGAGTAAAACCTAAAAAATAAAAATTTTGACCAACAAATATTGAAAGTCTAAAAAAAAAAGAACATTGGAACTGGTCAGTTTTTAAATTAAAAAAGTCTGGAACAAATGAAATGTAGAGGAATAAAATTTTGATAAACAAACATTACTTAAAAGTCTAAAAAAACGAAATGAACTAGTCAAGTTTTTAAACGAAAAAAATCCGGAAAAATGAAACTTAGAGGAATACAATTTTGACATACAAGCATTAATTAAAAGTGTTTCATTAAAAGTTTTTTCCCCTCCCTCTCAATAATAAGCGTTTGGTTTACGTGAGGCAGCGCTTGACCCCCCCCCCCCCCCCC